CTTTACGTCTGTTTTTATTTTTGGCGGTAACCATGAACGGTGGTCGAGTAGATCATGTTGTGCGGGGTCGAGAACCCTCACTCCGCGCAAGGGGGGTGATCGCACCCCGTTGTGTTAAAATGGTCAAGCACCCTCGAGGCAGTTACACAGTGCTTACAACTGTCTCCGGAAATGAAAGCACCAGAAAATAAATTAAGTCATACGCAGCTGTCATCCGTACGCAAGGAAGTAAGCACAAGATGCCGAANCACGAAATTACGGTACGGTACGGTACGGTACATAGGCCAAAGCAGCCGCGGAGGGTTTCATGACCGGGATGGAGGTAGCCAACGATATGGACTACGATGACGACGAGGTAAGGTCTTGTCGTGTCTTGTCTTGTCGTGTGCGCTTGTTTGAACTTTGCCGGGACGGTTATGGCAAGGATGAATCCCGCAGGCCCTCTGCAAGCCTCACTGAAGTATAGGTATGTGTTCGTCGAACCGTCGCACACCCTTTCTCCAGCATTACGTTCTGATTGCCCCCGTGTTTGGCCTCAATCCTCTGCCCAAGGTGAGCTTTTTTTGTCATCACTCGAGCGTGGGGTTTGAGGTACATGGCACGTCAGATTGTTTGAGGTGATGAAGTCCTTCCTTTGTGTACCAGTTTTTATTTTTTTGTTGCGGGGAAGACGAGGTGTGGGTTGATGAGCAGGCCTTTTTTTATTGATGTGGGGGCCCGCAAGTATACAGGATTGAATATTGGTCGTTGTAGGCTGGTGTGCTGGTTTGGGTACGACGGTCTCGGCTGCGGGGGCACGTGTCAGGGCGCCAGGAGTCCGGGGGGGCGTACTCTCTATGTTTTGCATGCCCTTTAGCGGTTAGACCATTGACCACGCGTCCTCGAGAAGGTGGAGCATTGTTCCCACAGGACCGATCACCGACGGCCAATCGTTCTTCGTACTTTGCCAAAGGCGGCTCCAAAACGTCTGCCCTATTATAGTCGATCTATCCTACCGATGTCACTTCCCGCCTTTTCAGCCCACTTCCCATGCCCCAGCACAGCTCACGTCTTCTCCTGGCTATCCCATGCCTCAAACATCTCCCTGTACTTTCTTCTGCGTTTCCCAGCTCAGTCATGTACACTCCCCTCTCCTTGTGCAGCCATTCCGCGACTACACGAACACGGTCTTTGCGCTCGGAGCCGCGATCACATAGGCCGGGGGGGAGGTTATGTCGCGATCTACGTCGCCTCCCCTCCAGGAAGAACAACTACGTTTCGTTTCGAAAAAAATGTTGTTTCACCCGTGCGTATTAAAATGCTGTTGGCGGTGTGGGAATGCCAAAGTGCTGTCCGGTCTTTTGCTTTTATCAAAGACTGCCGCCCCGCGAGTGGTTGTTTCTTCTTTTTTTCTTTCTTGGTCTAGCTCGTGCCTCTATTTTTGTATCCACCCACTTTTCCCTCCGCGCCTTTTCCCCTTGTTGGTGGCATGCGACAGCTGATGGAGATGCTTGCCGCAATGGGGCAGGAGGACCCCGAGATGATGGAGCAGATACTGGCCGAAATTATGAAGGACCCGGCCTTGGCCGAGGTGAGGGACGTTTTTTGATTTTGGAGCAGAGCGCTTTTCCAAAGTTTCGCAATGTTTCTAAAGCAGGGATCTTTGCGAAGCGAGTTCGAATGTACCTATACAATGAAGTTTCAAGAATTCCAAATTTTTGGGGCCTACAATATTCACTTTCAAATTGGGAAAAATCAGCCACGTACAACGCTCACTGGAAGGAAAAGTAATTACAGCAGTCAGGAGGGCGGGAAGCGCAACAAGCGCATCGAGTATCTGTGTAGATAGTAATTTCCCCCCCTGTGGTTTCTGCCCCCGTGACGACACGCGTAGAGAAAGTTGATATTGGCGTGTGTTCAGACGAGTTCGCTTATCGAAGCGCAGTAGATGGCGGTTTAGGCGGGTGCCCCCCCCCCCCCCCCCCCCCCCCCCCCCCCCCCCCCCCCCCCCCCCCCNCATTGTAGGCTGCGTTTTTTTTCAGTTCTGACAATATTTTTGCGGTGGGCGGGTGCGGGATTTATTCCACTTGGCGGCAGAGAGCACGGAACAGTTCCATTTTCTCCCCCTTGAGTGGAAATGGCTACTAAGGGACGGGTGGGGCTCCTTCCTGAATGCACCGTATGTGCACACGGGTTGGCGAGTTGCCTTTCGCTGAGGCAAGAGTGAAACGGTCGGCTGTTGCTGCTGCAGTGAGAGATGCCACCGCCCACAACGTGAAGTTCAATGCTGCCCACATGTCAGTTTAGAGATGCTCCTTTTCGTGGAAACTAACTATAATATCCATGATACACGTGGACAACGTGCGTGTTCAACAATAGATTCGGCAGCGCCCAGCTCCAACTTGATAGTCATGCCAAGCTACTACAGCAGTGGCATTTCGTCGAACTCTGTGCGCGCGAAATATGTATGTGCATTTCTCGCGCCGTAGGACGTGGCCATCTCACAGCAGTTCCACCTCCTGACTCATCCGCCCCCTCTTGTGAAACCTATGTACCCACTGCTGTGCTGCCCTCGTCACGAAATTGAACGCAGAGCTTGGACGCCGAGGGGGGTGCCGCGGGGCTTTTCAAGGGCATGGGGGGGGGAGCGGGTCGACAAGGGCTTGCTGCGGAGTTGTAAAGATGCTCGCCGAATCGTCGAAGATCCTCTCCGGTGGCGTGTGAATTCCTTCCATTGTCCTGGATTTTTTAAGGGCGGCAGAAGAGGGTGATGCGGACAGTTTTTTCTCGGTTTCTTGTCGGAATTGATGGTAGGCATGTTTTCCCGGAGGGTTTACGTGTAGAGGTTGGCGAACCCTTGCGTCGCGGTGAAGTCTTGAATCTTAGTATTTGGTTGTTTTTCTCGGGAAAGATTTCCGTTGTTGCTTTCGTTGACGTTCGCGAGCGGTATCTGTCCTTCGTACCGAGGGGTGTGTCTGAGTCGACCGGACGCATCCCTTGTCCCGATTGAGAAGTTTTGGAGAAATCGTTGTCGCTGTGATCATTTTTCGTTTTTTGTTTGCGTGCTGCACTCTGTTGAGTTCTATGTGAAAAAAGCAGGGTGGTCCATGTTTTGTTGTAAATTGTTCCAGTTCAATTTTCGACAGAATGGCGGAGCGCTGTCGGAATCTCGTGGCGTGCCTTGTCCGTTTTGGCTGGACGTCAGCGCACTGTTCATCTGCTGTCCGTTTGAAAAATTGAAAAATGTGTTGTTGATGCTCCTCGAGTTTTGATTGGTCAATGATCGTTGGCCGGTGGGTGATGACTCAGCCCCAGGGTGACGAACGGGGCCCCGCTTTTGGTGGTAGACAGTAAAAATGAGTCGTGACGTTATCTTCAGGCAGACGAGGGAAGGGGTCCAAAACCCTTTGGTCCAAAACCTTTCTACTCCGAAGTAGCTCAGTGCGCCAAACACAAATGTACGTTCGCTTCACACTCCCAAGTGTGTTTCACTTCACTTTCTTTGTTTTTCTCTCCCAACACCAATTCGCAGCATGTGCATGTGTCTTTCGAGCCAGTCTGCAGTAGCGGTTTCACCGCTTCTTCGAATTTGCTGAGATGTGGGTCTTAATTTGTCAGGCCTTGAGCTTGTCCATGGTCTCATGCTCGTGCAGGATCCGCACACAGCCAGCAGCATCTTGTCCGTGCTTTCACCCACCACGCACCTCAGGTTGAAACGTTCCAAGTTTGGGCTCCAATTATGTTCCATCATACTTCACTCGCCTGTCGATTGCAAGGAGACCGATTACATCCATCCATCCTTGTGCTTGAGGTCGAGCAACATTGCGCCGGTCGCTTTGTTACTAAAATCTCGGTCAGCGCTACAACAGCATTTGCAATAGACTAGTCTAATGTTTCCCAACAACAGAAAAACCCTGCATGGCCAGACTTCGTTTTGGCAGAAAGCCACTGTTCGCAAAAGTAGCAAGCTGAACCTCGGAAGTTATTCGCTGACGCTTGCAACTACAGCAACATTCGGCGATGTTATTCTCATGGACGTCTGCCAAAATGCGAGGACAACCAAGCGGTTGCCATCACCAACGACCGAGTTTGTCGGCTATATGTACGCTCTGGCTTAAACCTCGCACACCCGCCAGCGAATAAGTGATCGTGAGCTAGGTTTGGCAGTGCACATGCCGGCAGCCTGGAGTGTAATCGAGGGTGGAGGCGTTGAGTCCGTTGAGGATGTGTCTTATCGACAGAATCAAGATCAGAAATCGAAATCAAAAATCAGTTTAAGTCCTGGAAGAGCCAACGAATATCTGCTGTGATTGGATGGAATAACTTTTAACCTGTCCGTCGGAAGCATTTGGATGGAGACCGCACGGAATCTTCCTATGCTTAAACTCGAACTCAAATAAATGCAAAAACATTAAAATCGATGTCGACTTTTGCGAACAGCGCACGTGGCGGGCTATTGGGTGTGTAGGGGCCGGGTTTTTGTGCCGATTTGACACATCGAGGACCACGCCTTGGCATCTTGGCATGTGGAGGACACCCACCACTCACGCGCGAGCGGCAGTAAGCAGAGGAGACGATGTCACAGCCTGGGGCAAACGGTGACGGGCGGTACAACTTGGGGCCGAACACCCCAGCGCAACTGCCCAACAATATAGTTGGGTTTCACGCGGCGCCGATGGCCCGTGGTGTCTGGCCTGCATCGCCACCGCCACCGCCATCGTCCCAGTACCTGCCGCCGCCGCCGCCGCAACAAGCGTAGGAGCGCGAGCCATTCTTTTGGGATGCGGCGCGACGCTGCGGACGTCGTGTCACGGAACTGGCGGGCTGTTCGCCGCTTGAAGTGGGCGCTTCACCGTGTTTCTCAATTTCGATTTTGATTTTGGTGGTTTCTCGATAAGACACCGCGGGCGAATTTGGGCGACTCTTCAGGACTTAAACTGATTTTTGATTTCGATTTCTGATCTTGATTCTGTCGATAAGACACATCCTGAGGCACACGATGCAAGAAACAAGAATGCAGCGGTGATTTGATTGGCTGGTTTGAAATTTGCCGAACCGGCAGCGCCGCATCTCCGGAGATGCCGCATCCAGTTTTTGTTAATTTTTCCAGTCACACATTCCCGCCCGCCCTTGGCTGTTGGCTCGCTCTTCACAAACAAACGATTCAGCTCACAAAACAACACCATCACCCGGCAAGCCCGAAATTTCTGGCCTTCACTGGTGAAGAGACTGTTCTCACGTGGGAGATCAACCCCCTGGGGCGTAAGGCAAGTGTACCAGGAATGCGAGACTAGCCCGTGCTTGCCATGCACGTGTGTACATTTCAGAGCGGCAAGAATGTTAATGGCAGGCGGGATCCGCTCCCGATGACTCGGCGTGATCAAGGTGCAGATCTCAGAGGAACTGAAGCTTCGAGCTAGCAGCAGATCTGTGGAGGCTATATTCTGCTTTGTCTTCGCGTCGTCTTGTAGCGCTGTATCAGGCGCACGTCGTAAACGAGTCGGGGGAGAGCTGTAGCTGACGATGTGTAGTCTACAGCAGTAGGATCCACACGCGGCGACACATACATGTATGGCACCCGCTGGTAGCTTTACACTCGGTTGGGCATCCAAGACAGCAAAACCCGCTCTCTCGTATTATGCACGCACTCGCAAAGCCCGAGGGGGGTCTCCCTGATCCCTCCGAATGGCACGGGCACGGCGGTGTCAGCTGTTGTTTGAGGGCCCGGGTTGACACGGTAAAGAAGGAAGTGCTACAATATTTTCGCTTCGTTTCTCGAGGCATTTCTTCCGGCTGGCATACACTACGATAGTCTTGAGCCTGTCTCCCTAGGATACCCCTCGAGTTCATCCGAGCACCGCGATCGTTGCTGCTGACTAATGTGGTTGATCATGTTGGTGGACGTCCGGATAGGCGAACTAGACAGGCATATGGATGTCGCCTTGGGAGGCAGGATGTGCCATCTGACATGGGACCTTTTGTTCTACATTAGACTAATATTCGTGCGAACTCTATGTAGCCTGGACTACTACCGTAGATACAGGCGAAAGTCGGTGCTCTACATGTTGCCGCTGAGTCTATCGCTTATCGCAGGACTCGGTTCTCGCGATCCCGTTGTTCCATGCTGCACACATGTCCTTTTCAGCTTCAATATCATGGTGGTAATCAGCGCAGCCTTGGTGCTGTTAGCCATCGGCAGCGGGGTTTCCTGCCCCGTCGTAGCCGCAGTGTTGGACGCGTGCAAGTGCTGCCTCCCGACACCAAATGATATGTGAGAAAAAATATGCATGGATTTCACCAGTGATCAAACTCGGGCATCTGTATCCACTGACCGTTATTATTGGGTGGAAATGTGTATGGACCTGTGGGAGAGGGTGGTGCACTGCTAATTGTTGAAGAACGGCACACACTCTCGATCTCGAATCCCTTGTTTGGCTCCAGTGCACCTTCGAAACTGTATCTACAGTGTACTGGACTATACACATTGGCAAGGCTGTTCACGGACAAGATTGTTCGACGGAGCAGTGCCGAGTACATGATCCCCAGCACTCTCGGCAATGTCCGCTTCTGCTTCACCCCGTTGGTGCTGGAGGCCGTCTGAAAAGCCCCAGTCCCTTGTCCTGACCGAGCACTGTTGCACGTAGACTACCATCGCCATGATCATGCCGGTATCTTGGACTAAATTAAGTTCTTGTTCTTGGCCCATTTGAAGCAGGGAGGAACAAGACGACGCCCAGGACGACGCTGCGGACAACCAGGCCCTCGTGCTGCGAGCACCGTCCGCGCAGCCACGCTCGCTCGCCGTGGTCCGAAGCAGCAGCAGCAGCAGCAGCAGCAGCAGCAGCAGCAGCAATAGCAACAACAACAACAACAACCTCGTGCTGCGAGCACCGCCCGCGCAGCCACGCTCGCTCGACGTGGTCCGAAGCAGCAGCAGCAGCAACAACAACAACAACAACACCGGAGGCACGCTCGTCCTAGTCCAACTTCAGACAGGCAGGCAGATCGCTCGCATCGATTCGTTGGGGCGGGCGATACCGCTCTACAACTGGGCAACGATCCGGCGCCCCCCGCAGCAGCTTGCTGCGAGGCGAAGGATGCTCAAGCGCATCGTCATGGGGAAAGACCAAGCGGCGCCCGCCGGGGCCTCCTACAGCAACACCCGCAGCGGCGCCAGCAGCGGTGCCAGGGAACTGACTGTCCACACCACGTCGGTTCTGGGTGCCGTCGCTAGCGCCGCCGCAGGTGTCGTCAAGTCGCACCTCCTGCCCTCCGCTGTCACGACTTTAGCCAAGCTCAACAGCGGTCCTCTCGGTGGCGCAAGGCCGGCCATCATGACTGCCGCGGCGACGGAGACGCTGACGGCGACGGTGCCGGCGTCCGTGTTGAGCCCGACCTCGTCGACGCCCACTAGGCCTGCCGCCGCCGCGTGCAAGGCGACGGACATCACCACCACCGATGTGACCCCGCTGCGGATGCCGTCTCCGGGGGCAAAGTCGACGGCCGCCCCTTCCCGCGGAAGGTCCACCTCTCCCCGGGCGCGCGGCGGGCGCCCGTCGTCCCCGCGCCGGTCGCCGCGAACACTCTCCCGCTCCCCATCTCCACAATGCTTGGGTACAGCCGTGCGCGCGGCAGCGGTGGATGCTTCTTCTCCGTCCGCTGCTGCTCGGCCGGCCGTCTCGAGGGTGGGCAGGGATTTCAGCTCTGCCGCCGCGGCGAAGGTACGTTTCTTGAACAGCTCCTACGATACTGGAACGCCTGAAGCTCTTGTTTTCCAAACATTACATCACCCCGACTAGCCTCTAGGCTCTGCCGGCGTTGTAGCTCGTGGTTGCCATGGTTTTCGGTTTCCTAGCTCTTCGCCCCCTCCCTCGTTGTCCGTTCTCTGCCCTCTTCCCTTGCCTTTCATTCTCTGTCAATGCATCAGGGTGTCAAAGCTCCCAAGCAGGGGTCAGGGTACGCAGGCACCCTGGGCGTTTCGGGCACGCCCCCGCTCACCCCGGCATCTCCCGTGCCGTCTCCTGCTGCCGCCATCTCCGAGGTCTGGAGCTCGAACACCGTCTCCTTCTTCGGAACGAGCTACGGCCGCGACGACGACGGCGTGGATCTCTCGCGGGAGGTTGATGAGGTTAGCCGTTCCGTCCTGCCAGCGAGTGACGTGAGTAGCGTGGTTGAGAGCCTTTCGTTCTCGGAGTCTGTGAAAACGAGCATCCCTACCGTGGCAAGTAGAAACCGGGCCTTTGTTTGTGCTGCGAGTGTAGGATGCTAGATATACGCGAGTGGCGCCTGCTACGCACTACCTACCGGATGTTACACGCGATTGGTAAGCGTACCAATACCCCTGCGATACACAGCGATTCTTTTTGGCCAAACGCCCAACGGCCAGCTCGTGACGAACGCCCGATGCGATTTGTGTCCATTGACCCACGCTCCACGGCCCTACCACCCAAAAGCATGCCTTCTCCACCGCCAACACGCCGTACCCTCAACAACGGAACTGTGCCCCGCCCATCGAGCAGAGAAACATCCAGCCGGTCCGGGGATCTGGGGTCGATACCTCCATCAACCAGACCAAGCTCGTTGCCTCGGTCGACGCCGGCCAGAGAGCGGACACGGCCACCGCGGCTGCGCCGGTGGGGAAAGGAAGCGACGACTGCGACGACACGAAGCGGACAAGGATAGACGTCTTGTCCGGGGATATCCGCTCCATCGTCAAGGGGTCCGAGCGCGGTCAAATCAGGGCCGCGTTCATCGGCAACATGCGCCAACGCCAGGCGGCGACGGTGGGAGAAGGCTGCGCGCTGGTGCAGGCGGCCCGCGTCGCTCTCGGCGGCGGCGGGGGCGGCATCGGGGCGAGCTCGTCACTGTATGAGAGCGGTGTGATTGGGGAGGGATCGTTCGGCATCGTCAAGGGTGCCACCCACAGCTTTCTGCCGGGAGAGTTCGCGGTGAAGAAGCTTAAGGAGGTGAGAGGCCCCGCGGCGCGTGCGGGAAGGTTGGTACAGGGCGGGGGAAGCTGGCTCTTGATACACCACTTCTTTGCGAGCAGGTTTGTGTATGATTCAGAAAATATTGCGGTGGTCGCAGCAGATATTCTGGAAGTCACAACAATACTGTTGTTCCCATACTGCAGCGGCCGTGTTCATTGAATTCCGGGGAAGGGGAAACAAGCGACTGTTGCCGTGTACGACCAGGACGGATCAATAGATGCACCGTTGCTGCATCAAACCTTGCACTTCCAAGCCGAAGGACCCAGATTGACCATTTGTGCGCGTGTGATTTTCCCGAACACCGACCTGCTTTCCAGGGTGCGGACAACAACGCGAGGTACTGCGCTCGGGTCGAGATGATCGTCATGGCCCGGTGAGATCATCCCCGGCAGTATCAAGTCAGGATAGAGAACGCGCCCGCACTGGAAGAAACACTATTCTTGCCTGAGGCGTCATTCTTGTCTTCTCTATGGGGTATCCCATCATTGTTGTTGTAGATTTGCTACGGTGTATGCGTCTTGACTGGGTGCCTGCACTTGTAGTCAACCTGTAATACCTGGCACTTTCGATTGCCTCAGGCCCTCTTTCTAAGCTGGCCATTTCTTCGGTGGATGGCGCGTACTGTAGGTCACGCAACGACTTGCTGCAAATGACGGTCTCGATGTTCGTGCATGTTACTTGTTGGTATGTCATGTTGCCCCTCCCCCGCCTCGAAATTCGCGTACATGATTCCCAGTCCCCTCTGCGTGTACCTCTGATAGACATGCGGCTGTCAGATATTTCTTATTCGGGTGGTTCAGTTGGAGCGCAAGCAGTTCACATCGACGCCTTCCAACCAAAGAAGATCCCCAATGCAGCGACGCAGCGGCATTGGAACATACTCACGCACACATAGGTGAGCTTCTGCGTCATGCTCCAGTCACCGTCATTGAGCACTTGGCCGAAGTCGCCGTGTGCCCTCGGCTGATGGATCGGCATGCCCACCGCTGCTTCGCGGTCGTCGATCGCAATGGCCCCGATGACGTTCGGGTGGAGGCTGTTGGCCAGGCTGGGGAGGGGGGGGCGGTGTACTAATGTAAACGCACCCCTTCGCCCCTGCCTCGCGAACAACCCCCACCCGAACATCATCGGGGCCGTCGCGATCGACGACCAGGCAGCGGCTGTGGGCATGCCGATCCTTTTACCCAGTGCGAACGGCAACTCCGAGCAAGGGCTCAATGATGGGGACCGGAGTATGCCACAGAAGCTGACGTATGTGTGCGTGTGTGTGTGCCAATACCGGCGAGCGTTGCGGATCTTGCTCGGTCGGAGGCGTGTCGATGTGAAATACCCCCCCACCTGCCCCCTCCACCCAGAGGCAGTCCGGAAGGGAGTAAGAGTAGGGGGCACGGAAACTTCGGTGTCAGGAATGCTGTCTGCGGATGATTTTGTCGGTATGTCGGACACCCCTGAGGGACTGCAACTGCAAGTTGACGCGGCGAAGAAGTTCACTGATAAGCGGAGATTATCTGCCAACGTTAAGAAGAGCGCCGTCATGGTATGCAACGAGAAGGAGGAGGAACCAGTAGAACATGGATGGAAGTGGGGGATCGAGGAGATTGCAGTAGTGGACCAGTACACATACCTCGGAGTAGAGATCGCAAAGGACTGCTCGTGGAATCCACACATGTCCAAGGTAGCGGAGAAGGGCAAAGCACGAGCAGGGAAGCTGCACCCAATGCTCACAAACCGGCACCTCGATACATGCATCAAATTGACGGTTTTGAAGAGCGTAATCGTACCGCCGCTAGAGTACGCCGGAGAAGTATGAGAAGGAAAAAGAAGGTAGTGAAAGAACTCGAGGCGGCGCAGACGAAAGCAGCGAAAATCATCCTAGGATGCTCCAAGCGCACAAATAATGTAGCCGTCAGGGCAGCATTGGGGATCCAATCACTACGGTCGGGAAGAGACGCGAGGAAGCTGACATGGCAGTATCGCATGTGCGGGATGGCATGTGCGGGATTGGAGAGGAGAGGTTGCCGAGAATTGCATGGGAGGCGAACTGGGCAAACAAAAAAAGGGGTAGACAACCCACGGAATGGGTCAAGGTTGTAGAGGACGTATGGAAGGGGCTCGACATCGACGAAGATGAAACGCTGGGAACGGAGGGTCTAAAGGGGTTCAAGGAGAAGATATCTGTTGCTTGTGCCGAGAGAGAAGAACAGAATNCGGTAGCTGTAGTGGGGCATAGGAGGTGGGTTGAAAAGGCGGGAAGGGATATCGTTAGGATAGACAGACTAGGGAAGACATTTTTGAGCCGCCTTTGGTAAAGGAGAAAGGAACGATTGGCCATCGGTGCTCGGTCCTGTGGGAACAATGCTCCNCATGGGACGTACACTGAGATGTTTGAGGCATGGAATAGAGAGGAAAGGACGGTAGCTGTACTGGGGCATAGGAGGTGGGTTGAAAAGGCGGGAAGGGATTCCGTTAGGATAGACAGACTAGGGAAGACATTTTTGAGCCGCCTTTGGTAAAGGAGAAAGGAACGATTGGCCATCGGTGCTCGGTCCTGTGGGAACAATGCTCCGTCCTCTCGAGGACGCGTGGTCAATGTTCTAACCGCTAAGGCATTCAAAAGATAAGAGTAGCCCCCCCCCCCCCTGCCCCCTCCACCCGACCCAAAATAGGAAACATGCATCGGCCGCATTCCTACCATAGGTACACGCGCAGGGGACCGGGAATCTTGTCTGGCTGCGAACCTTCATCGAAACGGTTAGCTCTAGAAGGGAAATCGCCGGGCCGGCCGGGACATCCAGCGGGGGTGGTTTCGACAAAACCGCAAACTTCGCATTCCTCGCGTGTACACCGACCCTCTCCGACAGTACTAGACGGAGTACGCAGAATCACGTTTAGAACAAACACCAATCGATCGATCGATCGCAGGTTCCTCCAACGTCAGAAAGTGATGAAATATCTTTACTGCTGTGCAAGCACCTCGCACTCCTCACCCTCGCGCGTGTGTGCGGCCCGCTGTTGTGTTGTCCCTCCTAGGCTCGCCGAGAGCCCCCACCCGAACGTCATCGGGGCCATTGCGATCGACGACCGCGAAGCGGCCGTGGGCATGCCCATCCTTCTGCCGAGGGCACACGGCGACTTCGGCCAAGTGCTCAATGACGGTGACTGGAGCATGACGCAGAAGCTCAGGTGTGTGGGTATGTTCCAATGCCGCTGCGTCGCTGCATTGGGGATCTTGTATTGTTGGAAAGTGTTGATGTGAACTGCGCCCCGTCCACCTGAACCACGCCGAATAAGAATTAAGTGACAGCCGAATGTCCATGTACCAGAGAAGCACGAGGCGGGGACTGGGAATCATGCCCGCAAACGGTGCACCAGACGGGTAACTGTTCAATGGAGAGAGATACTCCCAAATTGTTGGGTCTGTGGATATATATCCTCGGGGGTACTTTCGACCAAAATAGTGGTGTACTTTGAACTCCTCGCATGGTCGAGACGTACTTGCAAGGTGGTGCGGTAAATTGACGTACGTACGTAGAACCAAAACGAGTCGATCGATTGATCCATCGAAGCTTCTTCCAAGAATGGGAAGAATGACGTTCCAAATTCGATGAGACAAGGTACGGAGGATGCGTTTTGGGGCGTATTGCAGCGTGGCAGACATCTTTCATTGCTCAGACAGGTCACTGTTGCCTGCCTCGCATCCTTTGCGTGGTGTGGATTTACTGAACACAATAATTCAAGAACATTATCCGCTCATCTGTTCAACTCTCTCAGATAGTTCCACCTGCTACATGTAGTGTCGTCAATTGTCACGACAAATTTATATCATCGCATTGAACGACATGATTCATGTCACGTCCTCTCCGCGCTGACTGATTGATGCGACACACGCCTTCCCGCCTGCACCTACCTCGACAGCTGCCTGCAGCAGGTCACCTCCGGCGTGCGACACATGCACCAGGCAGGCATCGGCCACGGGGACCTCACGTCGCCGAACATTCTGCTGGTCGACGACGGGGACGGGGAATGCGTGCCCAAGATCTCCGACTTCGGTCTTGCCCGAGGTGAAACAGAGAAAACACACACCCGTACACCACGGTTTCGGGGGGGTTCGGGGTGCAACACCATCTGATACGGTGGACGAGTGGTGACGAGGTGCACCGCACCGATGTCGCGTGGCAGCATGAGAAACGTGCGTATTTCCATCTCGGGATTTACCGGTTGTGCATGGGGCGGGAGTGCATAACCATGCGACCGTGCTCCGGACAGAACTTCTTGGTGAAAAGTCCCACATGGAGAGGACGACAATGAGCACAATGACACTCGTCACTACAACCTACAACGAGGCGAGACCAGAGTAACCCCGTCCCTGTGTCCCCTCTCCTATTCCAACCATTGATGATCCAGCGCTGGGAGAGATGCGGCCGAAGATGATGGGAACTCTCGGGAGCATGCCGCTGGAGGTGATGCAGGCATCGGTACGAACATCCGAGAGCCAGGACGCGTTCGCGATGGGTGTGATGGCCTTCACCGTCTGCGTGACCCCCGAAAAGGTGCAGGCGAACATGTTCATCTCGCCGGTGAGACTTAAGGCGAGGTCGCGCTTAGGGCTATTGTCTCACCAGTAAATATATCGTGGGTCTATTCGGATCTCCGCTTTCCGAGAAGCTGTTGTGTGCACCCTCCCTCCCGCAGAAAGGTGGCAACAACGGCAAGAACAAGAGCAAAGAGCACACCTGTCTCGCTGAGAGAAGAAGTGGGTAACACCACGGGATCATGCAATCGTCTAGTCAACAACGTGCTGGGTATGTATCGAATCCAATGTCTGGATGGGACATGGCTTCGAAATGATTGCGCATGTACGCAAACGCATGCAATCCTACCAACCACGCGGTTGTTTGAGCTCTACCAGCCTATCGATGGGAAGGGGGCACAGAGAACCTGTCACGGTAGTATTGGCTGCCATCGTTTCCCGTAGCGCCTGACTGACGATTTTTCGTCCGTTATGATGCCTCTGCTCCTGTGGCCGCTTTGTCGTTGGATGGAAAAGTACCTTTTCACTGCTGCGGAGGCGAAGGCCAAGAAGGCGCTGGAGGCGAAGGGGACCGGTCCGTTCGCCATGGCAGAGAGAGATCTCTTCGAGGTGCGTGCGCATAGTCTGTTTTGTGTGGAGGCCATCTATCCACGCTCACTCGTTGTGTCGTTTTCTTGAGCCGATCAAGAACTTTTCGTGTCGTTTCATGCAGCCACAGCCAAGGCTACCCCCGCAGGGGGAGAGATACTTCTTGTGGTCTGGCTGTACGCCCGTAGGTAGGAAATGCGTAGGCCTTCCATTGGTAGGTTTTCACTCTCCGGGTAAGCTTTCCCTGTGTTTCCGGCTAATGTAGACTGCTAATATAGCAGTGTGTTTTGACAGTTTGATCCTCTAGATGAGGGGGGACGAAACGAAAACCACACCCGAAAAGCGCGGAGTACATAATAGGAAGAGTTCTTGGTAGCCCCTGATATAATGATTGCTTCCCGGTGGACCTATCGAAGGCTGCTTCTCTGCAAACCCTTGACTCCTCTCCGAGTCATTTGGTTCCGCTGTGTAGCAGCGCCCTTCCTTCTTGAACAACAAAAACCCTTTGACGATTAGCCGCAGGCAGGCTACAACGAACGACAGATTCGAACTCGTCCAAAAATGCTTCAATGTCAACGATAGAGATTTAGGGAGGATTGAGATCTCGCCTCAATCAAATGATGAGCTTTCGAGCAGGTGCTTGTTCGACTTGTCTTTCACGTTCTGATTCGACACGAGCTACCGGCTGCTGCTGTAGGTCAAGGGTCGGGCTATCGTACCACGAATATACACCATCGCGTGACTCCACCAAGAAAAAGCACACACCGTATCATTGTCATGACTTGTTCAGTAGTATTCAATGGACGTTTCGCATCCATCCATTCCTTCCAAACGCGTACCACGTACGCACGACTCCTACCGGTGCTCCTTCCTTGCTTAGCGAAAAGTGATGGAGAGGACGATGTCGACAAGAGCCTTCGAGGCGCTCTTGACGGTCGACAATCTGCACCCGGACCTGGGCTCGGCTCGCGTGAGGGGCATGGTGAGTTGATTCAGCGACCACGACCGACCTCCGGCGCAACGCCACATACCTACCATGTACTCCTGCTCTCACGGTTGGACGGCGCTACTCAACTAAAATGGTGCGAGAGCGTGAGTTCGGGCTTTGTCGCGTCTTCTTTGGGAGGGGAGCGGGAGATGCGCGGTCTCTTTCAAGATACATAAGTCTATTCGATGTGTCCAACGCATTATTCTTTGGGAGGGGAGCGGGAGATGCGCGGTCTCTTTCAAGATACATAAGTCTATTCGATGTGTCCAACGCATTTTTCGTGGAAGTTCCGCGTTGTATCCACTGTTGTTGCTGCTATCGCTGTCTTATTGCTGGTTGCTCCCTGTTGTTGGTTTTGTGCTTTTTCAAGCTGGTTTGACACGTACAATAGCCTTCAAAGCCAGACCTTCCTTGCTACATGTCGACCCATTCCAATGGATCAAATAGGTCGAAGCTATACCCACCAGATGCTGAAATATGTTTTTCTACGTTTGGTCCGATCCAGCCTTGAATATACTCCGTATTCAAAACCATGCTCAATCCGCGTTGTGCTTAAAACGTGTCGGAGGTGCATTGTATAGATACTGTCATTCGCTGTTTTTCGTCCTCTTGGGCATGGCCACACCCCGCTTCACACAGGTGTCCTGCTACCTCTCCGCATTCTTGGCCACCGACCTGGACGACCGCGGAGACATGGCCTCCTTCGAGAAGGTGACGGGAGACATGATCGAGATGGTCGAAGCTCAAGAAGGGACCAACGACGACGAGGAAGGAGACGGGTCCGAGTCTGAGGCGCAGAAGGCGTGAGAGAGGGAGACATAGCAGTGTAGTGGCCCAGGTGGAGACGATGTCGGCCACGTCTACATGGAGGGCCGCGCGACGTGTGCTACGCTTCAACGAGCCCAGTTGATCGACAAAATGCACAAGAGCCGACGGGACTAGAACGCGTCCACATGATGTCCTGCTTGTTTCGGCGCTGTCCGGGTGTAGCTCTGCCTCTCGTCAGTCCGACTGGCTCATTGCTTTCGGTCACAAGAAGAGCATGATTGTTCGTACTGTATTGTGAATGCCGATGATACAGCGTATTTTCCACAAGTGCCTCGTGTTAACATGATCCCTTTCTCCAATTCCTTCATACAAATACGTTCGGAGGTGTAGTCTAGAAGGCAGCGCGACGTCTCTCGTTGACCCTGCTACTGCTACCAAATCGCGTTTCGTTCCCCCGTGATTAGTTTTACGATGAACGGTGATATTACCGTGTTCTAGCCTAGGGTTGATTTTACTGCTGTGTTCTAGCCTCAGGTGTTTCTCAAATGTAAAGAGATATGTAGTTTATGGCATTCTTGTGCCTCTTCCCACTATCAAATTTTACCATGCAAGGTTGTAGAGGGCTTGATGGACCAATGTTTCGGTGTCAGGAGTTGTTTTGTGGTGTTCGTGGCAGGCATGATGAAATAGAGTGCGGCGAGGCTGCTCGTCACGGGAGGTCTTGCGGAGGGGTGCTCGGGGTAGTCGTGTTGAAGTCAAAGGCCAGAACTTAGTGTGGGAAATGCCTTGTAAGTATGTGAGGGCGGCAGCGAATCCGGGGAGCTTGGTTTGCAAGCACGACTTACGAATTCGCCGTGTTCGCAGGGCCCTATAGGTTCGAAGCTGTACCAGTAGCGTGTCGTCCATATACTTCAGGTTATAGCTGCTTCACTCCTCTTCTCACTGGCTGAATTGGGGTCATTCGGGTTCAACATTTTGGTCTTCAGCTTGTCCATGGCCTCCCGCTCTCTGCTGAATTCGCAAAAAATCAGCCGTACATGCACGTGCATGGCAACGTGACATCAGCAGCTTGTACGTACGTTGACCCACGCACCTAGACTGGAAATAACTTCGGAAATTCCAAGTTCGAACCACGATTTCCCCCTCCCACGATCAACTGACCTCGGACACGCCATTAACCTTCACTCACATGTCCGTAAAAGAAAAGTGATAGTTGTAGTGCGCTGAGAACAAAGAAGCACAACCGCTGCGAGCGGCTCGTCAAATTAGCGATCGATGCACCATCTCCGCAACACAGCGTCAACGGCATAGTAGTCTGCCGTGCACGACAAGATCACACACCCCCTGGACCAATTTTCAAAGCTCGATCACTCCACGACGAAGAGGATGCATACACGAAACGATACATTTTTGGAAAGCTCTCGACGAGACGGTTCCAAGGCCGCCGTTTTCGGCGCCGTGACTCTTTCTCTTGTTGAGAAATCGAGATCTGAAAATCGGTCCAGGGGGTGTGCTATCTTGGGTCATTTGCGGTAGTCATCAATGTAACTACCCAAGAAATGGTGCCCGAAAGATCGTTTTCTCCACACGTACCCACGTTCATTTTTTGGAGAAATGTATTGAGGAGAAGGGTACGAAGTGACCATCCGCCCCTCCCAAACACCATACAAACAATCCAGCAAGATCGCACTAGTTTTTTCCATAGAATAGCGGCACCGTCGTATTAATGTATCTATGGAGGTAATCGTGCATCTATGAGACCCCTAGCCACGCGCACTAACCTCACCTGTGCGCTGAACTGTGTAGACGACTACAGAGAGAGCATTGTAATGATCAGCGCACCCTCGTAGGCCTAGCTCAAGCTGTCGCGGCGCAAGACTAGTCGAACAAAAACTTCCTCGCCGCAGAATACAGGTAGACTTGGAGTCCACCCAAGGGGAGGGGGTGGGTGAGGAAGAAGGGGGCACTCGTCATGTAAACGCATGCCGTATGTACCAGTCATTAGTAGACCGTATTGTGCTCGCATCCTTACAATGCCGGGACGGATCAATATGCCGGGTTTTGCCGTTCCACACTACGATTCACACGGATGAACATGAAGCTGATCATCATCCTTCCTTGTGGTTGCTGTGTGCCAAACCCGAATGCCATGATGAGTGATTGGAGATCCCCTGAGCAAACGTTTCCCATTCGGCAGGCACCACTAGACTATTCTTCACCGTGGGGGAAGACGAGCAGGACGGGGGCGAAGAGAAGGGAAGGAGGAGGAGGAGGAGGAGGAGAACGAGAAGGACGATGAGTCGGACTTCAGCTCGAGAGGGCGTAAACGCACCCCGAAGCGGCGTTTTGTGAGAGAAGGAATGAACGCATGTCGGAAAATATGGGCGGCAGGCGAAGAGAACACCCAGTATTTATCTGCGCAAGGTCAACGTGGTTGACGTGTGTTCCTTACACTACTCTATGCCTACGGTCAAAAAAGAGAGGGTAAAAAATGGGCGGGGGGAGAAAAAATTCTTCGATGGGCCCTCCCCGGGGCACCTACAGCTGTATACTTTCTCGGGCACCCTGACAAGCCGGTAATGATGTGGCTTCACGCTAGCATCTCATACATGAGCTACGTAGCACCTTCCGCGAGCTCACTTCCAGCATATAACCCCTGCATGGATACTGCACTTTGTTTGGCGAGGGGAAAACAAGAAACAGGCACCATAAGAAGGGTTGTTCGCAAAATCTACAAGCTGAACGCCTGTGTCATGAACTCTATTGTTGGACCAAAATAACGACAGACAGCCTGTAGACAACGATTTCTACCAGCTCTGGTATACAGCTCGCACACCCGCCGGAGAGAGGATGGTCGTGAGCTAGGGTTCGCATTGCGTACAGCGGTGGCACGGAGGGTAGTGGAGGGTGGAGGGCACAAGATGCAAGATATATCACAACGCCTCAACATGCAGCGGTGATTTGATTGGCTGGTTTGAAATTGGTCGAACCGGCAGAGCCGCATCTCCGGAGATGCCACATCAAGAGATCTTACATTTTTTTATTTTTAGGCGGTCACACCTGCAAGCCCTTGGCTCTTGGCTCTCTCTTCACAAACCAAACCGAACGATTCAGCTCAGAAAACAGCATCATCATCCGGCAACCTCGAAATCTCTGACTTCCACTGGTGGCGAGGCTGTTTTCGCGGGGAGACCAACCCCTTCGTAGGGGTAAAGGCAAGTGAGTACCAGGGATGCAGGAGATGTCCATGCCTGCCATGAACGTGTAGTCTAGACTACATGTGGAGCGGCAAGCATTGTTGTTGGCAGGCGAGATCCGATCCCGATGATAGACGTGATCAAGGTGCAGATCTCAGAGGGTTTGAGGCGTCGAGGTAGCAGCACAAATGTGGAGGCCATGTTCTGCTTTGTCCACGCGTCGTCTTGCAGCGCTGCATTAGGCGTGCGTCGTAAACGAGTCGGGCGAGAGCCGTAGCTATGATGTAGGATGAAGGCGGCGGCACATCTACGGTTTGAACCCGCTGCTTTACCAACGAAACCCGCTATCTCGTATCCTGCACGCACTCACATGGCCTGAGGGGGGTCTCCCTGATCCCTCCGAATGGCACGGGCACGGCGGTGTCAGCTGTTGTTTGAGGGCCCGGGTTGACACGGTAAAAAAGGAAGTGCTTCAAGATGTTCGCTCCGTTTCTCGGGACATCTCTTGCGGCTGGCATAGTCTACACTACAAACAAGAGTAGTCTTGAGCGAGTTCATCCGAGCACCGCGATCGCTGCTACTGACTAATGTGGTTGATCATTTTGGTGGACGTCCGGAACGGCGAACTAGACAGGCATATGGATGTCGCTGTGGGAGGCAGGATGTGCCATCTGACATGGGATCTATTGTTCTACATCATTCGTGCGAACTCTATGTAGCCCGTAGACTAGATGTCGGCGAAAGTCTGTGCTCTACATGTTTTCGCTCGCTTATCGCAGGATTCCATTCTCGCTATCCCGTTGTTCCATGCTGCACACACACGCCCTTTTCAGCGTCAATATCATGGTGGTAATCAGCGCAGCCTTGGTGCTGTTAGCTATTGGCGGCGTGGTTTCCTGCCCCGTCGTAGCCGCAGTGTTGGACGCGTGCAAGTGCTGCCTCCCGACACCAAATGACATGTGAGTAACAATAAGCATGGATTTCACCAGTGATCAAACTCGGGCATCTGTATCCACTGACCGTTATTATTGGGTGGAAATGTGTATGGACCTGTGGGAGAGGGTGGTGCACTGCTAATTGTTGAAGACCGGCACACACTCTCGATCTCGAATCCCTTGTTTGGCTTTAGTATACGTACCAAGAATTTGTGGCTTCAGAACTGGACTATACACATTGGCAAGGCTGTTCACGGACAAGATTGTTCGACGGAGCAGTGCCGAGTACATGATCCCCAGCACTCTCGGCAATGTCCGCTTCTGCTTCACCCCGTTGGTGCTGGAGGCCGTCTGAAAAGCCCCAGTCCCTTGTCCTGACCGAGCACTGTTACTCGTAGACTACCATCACCATGATCATGCCGGTATCTTGGACTAAATTAAGCTCTTATTCTTGGCCCATTTGAAGCAGGGAGGAACAAGACGACGCCCAGGACGACGCTGCGGACAACCAGGCCCTCGTGCTGCGAGCACCGTCCGCGCAGCCACGCTCGCTCGCCGTGGTCCGAAGCAGCAGCAGCAGCAGCAGCAGCAGCAGCAGCAATAGCAACAACAACAACAACAACCTCGTGCTGCGAGCACCGCCCGCGCAGCCACGCTCGCTCGACGTGGTCCGAAGCAGCAGCAGCAGCAACAACAACAACA